GCACGCCTATCAGGTTAACAAACAGGAAGGTACATCCTCGGTGCATCTTGAGCGATCGTGAACGAATGGAAAGACAAACGAGTCTGGCGATCATAGGAGTTGTAGCAGGGACACTACCGAAGAGGATCACAGACAGGAGCAAGGTGGAAAAGAGGAGGTTAGTGGAGAAAGGTTTGAAAAAATGGCCGGTGACCACAGCTAAGCCAAGCACAGGTGCCATCTTGTTAGCCGGTGACCGCAGCTAAGCCAAGCACAGGTGCCATCTTGTTACCGACCAAGTAAATGCTACCGACTCAAGTAAATTTTCTTCTAGCCAGCCGGTGATGGTTGATAGACACTAGTAATTCAGACAGTTTATAGAACACAGAAGCCCTGAAGGAGCAGTACAGCTGAATGCCATCTTCATACAGGTGATGAGACATGATGATAAGAATCAGTTTTCTATCCAAGACTGTGTGCAGTATGAATAGTAGAAACAAGAGTGGACCCAAAACAGAGCCTTGGGGTACCCCACAAAACAGATCGGTAGAATCTGACATGATTTGGTTTATACAGACACTGTAACTTCTTTTAAAAAGGTACAATCTAAACCAGTCTAGAAGAGTTCCAGAGATCTCCACCGAGTCACGAAGTCTGTTAATTAAGGTGCTGTGATCAACGGTGTCAAAAGCTGCAGAAAGATCTAACCATACTAACTTCCCCATTGTCTGCAACCATCATAATTCGCTGGAAACTTTAAGCAAAGCTGTTTCTGTTGAATGCTTTTTACGAAAGCCAGATTAGAATTTGTCAAAACTGTTGTGTAGTTCCAGAAAAGTAATAAGTTGATCTGCCACAACCTTTTCCAATATTTTAGAGAGAGAGTAATTTATAAATGGGTCTGTAATTTTTAGGCTGAGATAGTCCAAACTTGTTTTTTAAGGATAGGTTCAACAACTGCATGTTTGAAAACAGATGGTACAGAGCCAGATTGTAGGGATAAATTAATACAATCTACAATGCATGGGCCAATTTGGTCAAAAATCCTGCCGAACAAGGTAGTAGGAATGAAATCAGCTGGGCATGAGGTTGGTTTCATGTGTTTCTGAATGAGGCATATGTCCTGGAAATCTACAGGAGTAAAGACAGACCATGTTTGGGAGGAACGTGGTTGGATGGGGGTAGGAAATGGATATGGGTGAAAAACTTGTGTGTATTGTCAAAAATCTGTACGTCACAATACAGGAAGGAAAGAGGAATCGATGCAATATATAATACAGGAGACGCAATATGTTATACATCACAATCCAGGGAGGACGATACGATATGTATCACAATCCAGGGAGGATGATACAATACGTATCACACTACAGGGAGGACGATACGATACGTATCACTGCAGGGAGGATGATACGATACGTATCACTGCAGGGAGGACGATACGATATGTATCACAATACAGGGAGGACGATACAATACATATCAAAATATAGGGGGGACGATACGTATCACAATACAGGGAGGACGATACGATATGTATCACAATCCAGGGAGGATGATACAATACGTATCACACTACAGGGAGGACGATACGATACGTATCACTGCAGGGAGGATGATACGATACGTATCACTGCAGGGAGGACGATACGATATGTATCACAATACAGGGAGGACGATACAATACATATCAAAATATAGGGAGGACGATACGTATCACAATACAGGGAGGACGATACGATACGTATCACAATACAGGGAGGACGATATGATGCGTATCACAATACAGGGAGGACGATACAATACGTATCACACTATAGGGAGGGCAATAAGATATGTATCACAATGCAGGGAAGACACTACAATATATGATGTCTCTTAAACATACATGACGTAATAAATACGTTAAATAAGTTTCATCTGACAGGACCTGAATGCTAAACAAGTTGGAGTGCAAACAAGAGGTTCAGTGGTGACGCCAACACCGTGTAGGCCTGAGATGGAGCTGTTCATTCACTACTTAGGGCACCAAGTGGCCATCGAGGCACCAACCAATCTGGTTTATATATATAAAAAATGACTTTTGTGGGATGCTCAAACATCAGCCGTCACGGAGCGGATCTGCTTGCACGCACCCTCCATATCATAGAAGGCAGTTTACAAAATGTGCGTAATGGCTGACACAAGAAACACATACAAAAGCTGCATCTTAGGCAATGAAATCCTTGTCTTAAGTTTGTTGGGTTAGTTGATATATCATCTGTATCATGATTAGTATTGCAACACAAAAATATTGCGATATTTCCGTGAATAGAAATTTTCTTACATCCCTATAGTTAAATCTCTGCTAGATATCTAATTCTTTGGGGTTATCAGATGATCAGATTTAGAGTTTTGATAGCTCACTCTCTGACTTTCTCACACTGTGTTTAACATTTATTGAAATAAAGCTGAATTATTCTGATTAAGCCCACTTTACTGTCTTGGATACAAAATTAAAATTAGCTGCGTCGCATTAACTTGTCACAAAAGAAGCATGCAGCAGGAAATAGACAAGGTTATAAATGATAATTAGACATCAAGTTAAACCTGAAATTACCCATTCAGCTCATAATAGAGGTTTAGCCACAGCAACGATAAGGTTTTTATTATATTGAGCATCATTGTGATGTTTTTATGAGCTGGTCACTGTAATTGCAGCTCACCCATCCATTCAAGTCCCTGTCAGCTTGTCAGTTTTGTTGAAAATGTATGTTTAAAGTAGTCCGCTCATAAAGTCTGCCGGCACAAATTCAATTAAACTGCTGGTCCAAGCATTAATCCTCAGACTTTACATTATCATAACCAATAATATCTTCCACAGGCCTGTAATTAAAATGGCTGTAATTTGATGGTGGTGGTGGTAGTGGAGTCTTAATTGACTGAGAAGGAGGTTTCTCTGTTTTTCAGTCTGTCTCACACCCTCAGCGACGTTCAGATTTTGTTCATCTGCCTCATGGGATGGATATTGACATTTAAATAAGACATTCGGATCATGGCGGCCGTCTATTGTAGCTCAGTTTAAATGGGCACACACAGACCAGCTCCTTATTTGGCTGTTAGGCCTCTCCGCTTGCAGCACAACCTCGTATTCGTCAAAAAAATAGAGCTGTCAGCACGTCACTTCCAAGTCTCCAGCTCTTGTTACACAAAAAACTGCTTAATGCCTTTTCAGCGCTGCACTTTTCTCCCTGCTGGAGAGCATCCTGGTAACATACGACTTGTATCAGCATACGAACAGGTGCACATTAGCGTAGACTCATCCAGTGGCTGCTCTCCTCAATGCAGACTGCTAATTATTTATAATCATAGCTGAGCTTGTGCATGTCACAGAGGAAAGTTGTTGGGTCGCTTCGGTTGGGGCTGAATGGCCCCTTCAGGATGATAGATAATGGAGGGAAAAAGCTACTTAGTATTTTTGCAGAAATGTGGCTCACAACAGGTGATTCTGTATTAACATTGGAGCTGAGCAGCCTCTCTCAGTGGGAGAAAACATCGTCTCTGATGCACTTGTCGCGTTTGCATGAAGTTTCCTCCTCTCCTATTAAAAATGACAATTTTATAGAGCGGTAGGTGCAGGAGTGATTGACCTATACAAATTAAATAAGCAGAAAAAATGATCTTGCAACATTAAAGTGTGGGATTCAGTGAACCAAGTACTAGTCACTGAATGTCTGACTAGTCAGTATCTTACCTGCAGCAGACCTCATTCATAGCAATCTGTGGGAGTCACCCAAACGGCTGTTGCCTATTCAAGAGCATGACTTAAATGTTCTTTGAGCTTCCAACAAACCCAGATTTTTGTTTTCGTCTCATTTCAAAAGACTGTTGTTTTGTACTGTTTGTGTTGCATGCACAAAGGCTGCTAGGTGTACTTTAACGCATCTTTTTAGGACTTTAGGAGTTCTACTTGTTTAGTCAATTGACATAAAGATAGACAAGGCGGATTCTTTAAAATTTGAAGACTGAAGCCACAAAATTGTGTTTGGAGGTTCTGCCGTGTTGCATTATTGACTGTTTAGACAGAAAAATTTGGGGTGGCACCCACGTTTGGTCTTTGTGGTAAGTCTGGGAACATGAATTGCTTTGCTCCTTTCTTCTTTTTTATTAATACTAACAATGCGCGTTCAACACATTTACCTTAGTTTAGAGCAGTGCTTCTCAATTAGTGGGGCACGGCCCCCAAGGGGGCAGGATGGGTTGTCGGAGGGAATGTGTCACGAGATGCAAGGCAATCAATAATTTTAGCATTTTTTTCATGCTGGGATGCTAGACCACCTACAGCCACTAGGAGCAGCAGTGCTCAGACTAATCAACGGGCTTCCTGTTTAAAACCGCAGAGGAAGAACCAGCAGCACATAAGTGACGGATAACAGCCAAAGTGCCGGCTGTCGGCAGAAAAAGACGAGAAAACATGACGAAGCCTTTCTAACCCCAAGATTAATTTTGAATTGTCTGTAATGAAATCATCAAATTTACTCCAATAATGGTAGTTGGCCTGGTCTACAGTACATTTCTGATGAAGTTAGGTTTAATGTTCCTCTGTTGTCCTCCAGCTCTAGTTTCCCTGAAGCCTTTACTCGTTAGTCCTCTTTTAGACGTCCCTCTTCAATAATGAGTCAGTGAAATGAGATCAGAAGGATGCTATTCTGAACGGGGACAGCAGACGGCCAGTCAGTGTCTTCTGGGTTAGTAAGTCGGCCCTTCAGTGAGCTGTCTGTCATTCCTCTTTATTAGTCAGTCTACATTTATTAAGCCAACGCATATAAATGTTTATCCCAGAGAAACAAAAATTTAATTGTTTATTGGCCTAAATTCAAGATTTGTCAGTAAAAATGAAAGAGTCAAATGAAGAATCTGATTATGAGGTATTGAGTTGTTTTATTTTCCCTCATCAGTAGACTTCAGCAGAGGTAGACGCACTGATGTGAGACACAGATGAACGTCATTCATTATTTTGCATTTCTGTGTTGATGTTGTAGCTGCAGATGCTAAGGAGCAGCAGTTTTGGATGAGTCAGCTCCAAGCGTGCGCCAGACGCCACTCCGACAGCAGCGCCAAGGTAAGGACAGATCCTCGCAGTGCTTCAGACTTATAAACATGTCACCATTTCAAACACTGTAGCTTCTCAGGAGCAGAAGGGTGCCAGAAGTCCTGAACTTTCTGTCCTTTTTGTCTGTTTATAAAGGTTTTCTTTTTCTACAACCAGCCTCAGTCTGCCTTTAGCATTTCTGACAGCTTCCTCATTTTGTCCAGAAGATGCACAAGAAGTCCTGGCATGATCCATTTCTGCTTTATTGCCTCTGTATTTTAAAGGAAATGTGACAGAAATGCTTAAATACACACTTATGTTTTTTCTGGGTGGTTTTCACTAACCATCACATCATGGCTGAAAGTCCCACTGAATTATAGAGGGGATGGGGTGGGGCAATAAACTTTCAGAGAGTAAATTTTTGGACATGGGGGATAAAAGTCTCTAACATGTTAATAATCAGGGATGTGTATTTTTGAAATTCTGGCGATACGATACATATCACGATACAGGGGAGACGATACGATATATCACGATATGTTGCGATACATTCAGTCAGACGTTACAAGCAATTTTTTTGCTGAATTTATTGTAAGAATGTTCAATAAACAGTCAAATCTGATACGTAACATGTTTAACATGAGGTATCTGAACTGTGATGGAGGGATTTACATTTCAATGGTGGAAACAAAACCCGTTGCACACTGCTGCCAACTAGCGGGTGGCGATTGAATTGCACAAAACGAAAAGAAAATACACAAATGTTTGCATGTAAATTCTTTCAAGAATTAGATACATGGAATATTGATGTAATAATCACAGGAAAAAATATCACGATATATTGCCATATCGATATTTCCGATACACAGCTTTTGAATGTCGATATAATATTGCTGGGAAAAATATCACGATATATTGCCATATCGATATTTTCTTACATCCCTATTAATAATGCTGGAATGTGAAGCCTAAAGCCGCCTTTCCACTAGATGTGAAAGCGGCGCGTAACGTAATACTCGCTACTTCGCGGTTCGTTTATGGCGGATTCACGACTTCGCGGATTTTTTCTTTGGAGCCTTATTCAAGGGAAATTCGCTGATTCGCTGTATTTTTCACCGATTCGCAGCATTTTTCTATGCGAAATATCAAGAAATTCCTGTTTTTTTTTTTCATCAATTTCATCATAAAATGCACTTTTTGTAATAAAACTATTAAAAAAACCAAGTAAAATTTTTTTTCCTTATGTTTTACCCACAAAAAGAAAATGTGATCATACAATAATTCAATATAGTACTGTACTGTAAATATGGTGTCCCTACTTCGCGGATTTTCACCTATCGCGGCCAGGTCTGGAACGCATCTACAGCGATAAACGAGGGATCACTGTAGTGGCGTTTTACTCGCTCCCTTCCAACTAGGAGTGTTTCTTCTTCTTCTTATTGGTTTCTGAATTAGTCTTTGTATTCAGGTGTGAAGATTTTTAATTGGTGTTAAAATTTAAGAAAAAAAATAAAACTTTATCTCCAGTTATTTAGAGGTTTCTTTCAGCTTTTCTCCATGGATGCTTATTAGAACAAGCAAGTCTCCTGTTTCCAGATAATAAATGTTAGCAGAAATGTCACGTCGCTGCAGAAAGCAAAGAATTCATTGTCTTGACTTTTTCACAGTACGCTAAAAAGGAAAAAGAAAATCCAATTAAGTAAAGAGGAATGCAAAAATATAATTGGGCTAAAATGCAACCAGATTAGGAATAAACTTGGACCACAAGTAAAAGGTCTAGGAGAGATGATGCTTGATTCATATCATTGTTTAGGAATACTTTAAGAACTTGAGTTGACATTAATGAATCAGGAAGTAGCACACCCCTGCTGTTTGACTGCAGGGTGAAGGTGTAAACGTCCCATCATTATGCTCCTTTCTGGCAGCTCTAGCTGCACAATAATAACGTTATCTGCTATTTTATTGGTTGTGAGATTAGAGGGTTTATATTTTAGTTTTGCTTCAGTGAATTATTTTACATATTTGTGAGTTCTGTCTGTATCCCTGCACCCCCACACGCCCGTTCCAGTAGAGAACAAGATGATGCTGAGCTTTTTCTGGCGCTCCACAGTCGGTGGTGACAGCGAGGCTCAGCCATGCGTGTGGATGTCAGAAATATCTCCAAGTTTAAAGTTTCTCTTCGAAACTTTTCGGTTTTGCAGTCGACTCTGTCCTAAAGTTTCTATATAAGTGAGCCCCACCACCGTGACTCATCCATTGCTTTGTGGATTATTGCGTTGCAGCTTTGAATTTTATGTTTTACCGACTTTATTTTGGGTTTTATGCAGCGTTGAGTGACGTGTGAGAGATGGATTTGAGTTTCAGAAAAAGGGGAGATTGTGCTTGACAAGTCAAATCTACCACTTAAAGTATAAACTGTCTAAATGAAACCTAGGTGCTGCAGGTGTCTGATTATGTCATTTAGCAATAAATGTTTTTTTAAAGTGAATAAAGCATGCATTTAATGAGAACACACTCTATAACAGCTTTCCATTTATGTTTCCCATTCACTGTAAATCCACACAATTTTTCTTAATCAATTCAAATTCGATTCAAAAATACTTTATTAATCCCAGAGGGAAATTGATTGCTGTAGTAGCTCAGAATAATAATAATAATCAAGTCATCAAAGAGTTATTATATATTACAATGACTGTTGGCAGGAAGGATCTCCAGTAGCGGTCAGTGTTGCAGCGAAACTGAAGAAGCCTCTAACTGAAGACACTCTTCCGTTGTCGGACAGTCTTGTGAAGAGAATGCTCAGGGTTGTCCATCATTTTCTTGATTCTCTGGAGAATCCTTCTTTGCATGATCTCCTCCAGTGGTTCCACAGTCGTCCCCAGAACAGAACCAGCCTTTTTTATTAGGCTGTTGAGCCTTTTCAGGTCCCTGCTTCTGATGCTGCTACCCCAACAGACGATGGCTGAAGAGATTACACTCTCAACAACAGACTTGTAGAAGATCTGCAGCATCTTGCTACAGACATTGAAGGACCTAAGCATCCTCAAGAAGTGCAGTGTGATGTGTCCCTTCTTGTAAACGGCTTTGCTGTTCTTTCTCCAGTCCAGTCCGTTGTCCAGGTGAACTCCAAGGTTTGAGACCGCATTAAAAGATTACAGTGAAATCTGGTTCACTGGAGATATTGAAATGAGGCTTACAGATGTTTAGAAGTTCATGTTTCTTCCTTTTGTATTAATTCTTCTTTCCAGATTGGAAACGGTTACATGCAATGATGCAAAATTACTGAAATATTTGCATTTGGTCTATTTTGTTGCAGGTGAGGAAGCTAAAAGGTTCAGATGAACACCTCAGTGTGGAGAGAGCTGGAGGAGGCCAAGAAGTTTTAGTGAGTACACACACACACACACACACACACACACACACACACACACACACACACACACACTACAAAAACCCACTTTTTCATGCCTTCTTACCCAATTAAACCCTACAGACTCATCATGCCGCCTCATTGCCAGCTCCATTATTCCACATGTAGCTCTGTAGCAGTTCAAACAGCTGCACAGCTGGAGCTATAAGAAGGTCTAATTACCATGCTCAGTAATATTGGGAAAAGTAATCAAAAGAAGATAAAAAAACTGGGCGAGCAATGTGAAAGTGGAGGGAGGCGAGAGCTGGTCTCCTTTACCTTTGTGCCTTGTGGAGCTTAGGTGGCTGTTTTGTTCCTGCTGGCTGACTGTGGAGCGTTTCCGAAGCTGCAGCCGTCATTACTGCTGCTTCTGTGGTCTAATTCCTCTCTGAGCCGCAGTGCCACTAAGATCGTTATCGCATCTACTCTGCTGATGAGGCAGCCGGCATTGGAGGCTCAATGATAACAGACCTGTTTGGCAGATGAGATGTAGCCGGATTTATTTATTTTTAAAAGGTGAAGGAGTTTATGTTCACTCTGAGTCTTTGGAAGGAAATGAATAAACGGATGCTGCCACATTTGGTGGCAACAGTTTGGCTTTTTGTCTTTCGCTTTAAATGTTTGCCACTTTACCTGACAGGTGATGCATCCAACCACAGTCTGCCATCCTAAAACTGAGATGACGTTTTCTAGGGTAGAAGGGCGTTTACTCCCAAAGTGAATCAGTTGTAGATGAACATCCAGTGATTGATCTTCTGAAAGTTTTACTAAAGTTGGGCTACGTCGTTTAAACACTTAAGCTACTTAGAAATACTTAAATTTGACCTAAATTAAGTTACCTTTCATAAAGTTTAATTTCTCCTTAGTCCTTCCCCTGACACGCTCACACAGTCAATGTAGCACACCAACCTAGCTTGAATGCTAACTTGACCTGCATTGAATTAATGTCAGTGTGTTCAAGCTAACTGTACGAGGGAAACTAAAAGGAATTTTATCATTTGTGTATCAGAGCTAAGTGATTAGCATAGCATTCAACCGTTTGCTACACCAGACTGTTGCTTTAGCTTGGTGTAGCGTTAGCAGGAGTGCGCTAGCATCGTAAGTGCCGGATTCCACTCGGTTTTAGACGTTACCCTGCTCTAATGGGCTCGACACACGGGAGGCGATCCGCGGCAGCGGCCAGCGGCAAAGCCGTCTACGCGTTCTGTTCCATGGCGAAATCGAAACTTCCGTTGTTTTGCTTGGCTGTGTCAGGTTGGAGAGAATTAAGGTTATTTAAGCGGTTCAGAGTTAAAAAAAGCGGTGTTTCACAAGGTGCTGTTAGAGGTACAGGTGCTGGCCAGTAAATTAGAATATCATCAAAAGGTTGAAAATATTTCAGTAATTCCATTCAAAACGTGAAACTTGTACATTATATTCATGCAATGCACACAGACCAATGTATTTCCGATGTTTATTACGTTTAATTTTGATATTTATAGGTGACAACCAATGAAAACATCAAATCTGGTATCTCAGAAAATTAGAATATTCTAAAGGCCAATGAAAAAATGTTTGTTTCTCTAATGTTGGCCAACTGAAAAGAATGAACATGAAAAGAATGTGCATGTATAGCACTCAATACTTAGTCGGGGCTCCTTTTGCCTCAATAACTGCAGTAATGCGGCGTGGCATGGACTCGATCAGTCTGTGGCACTGCTCAGGTGTTATGAGAGCCCAGGTTGCTCTGATAGTCGTCTTCAGCTCCTCTGCATTGTTGGGTCTAGCGTATTGCATCCTCCGCTTCACAATACCCCATAGATTTTCTATGGGGTTAAGGTCAGGCGAGTTTGCTGGCCAATCAAGGACAGGGATACCATGGTCCTTGAACCAGGTGCTGGTGGTTTTGGCACTGTGTGCAGGTGCCAAGTCCTGTTGAAAGGTGAAGTCTGCATCCCCATAAAGTTGGTCAGCAGCCGGAAGCATGAAGTGCTCTAAAACTTCCTGGTAGACGGCTGCATTGACCCTGGACCTCAGGAAACAGAGTGGGCCAACACCGGCAGATGACATGGCACCCCACACCATCACTGACGGTGGAAACTTTACACTGGACCTCATGCAACGTGGATTCTGTGCTTCTCCGCTCTTCCTCCAGACTCTGGGTCCTTGATTTCCAAAGGAAATGCAGAACTTGCTTTCATCAGAAAACATAACTTTGGACCACTCAGCATCAGTCCAGTCCTTTTTGTCCTTGGCCCAGGCGAGACGCTTCTTGCGCTGTTTCTTGTTCAAGAGTGGCTTGACACACGGAATGCGACACCTGAATCCCATGTCTTTCATGAGTCTCCTCGTGGTGGTTCTTGAAGCGCTGACTCCAGCTGCAGTCCACTCTTTGTGGATCTCCCCCACATTTTTGAATGGGTTTGTCGTCACAATTCTCTGCAGGGTGCGGTTATCCCTAGAGCTTGTACACTTTTTTCTACCACATTTTTTCCGTCCCTTCGCCTGTCTGTTAATGTGCTTGGACACAGAGCTCTGCGAACAGCCAGCTTCTTTAGCAATCACCTTTTGTGTCTTGCCCTCCTTGTGCAAGGTGTCAATGATTGTCTTTTGGACAGCTGTTAAGTCAGAAGTCTTCCCCATGATTGTGGTGCCTTCAGAACAAGACTGAGGGACCTTTTAAAGGCCTTTGCAGGTGTTTTGAGTAAATCAGCTGATTAGAGTGGCAGCAGGTGTCTTCTATATTCAGCCTTTTCAGAATATTCTAATTTTTTGAGATACCAAATTTGGAGTTTTCATTAGTTGTCACTTATGAATATCAAATTTAAATGTAATGAACATTGGAAATACATTGGTCTGTGTGCATTGCATGAATATAATGTACAAGTTTCACGTTTTGAATGGAATTACTGAAATATTTTCAACCTTTTGATGATATTCTAATTTACTGGCCAGCACCTGTATGTGAAATCTTACTTCTGATTTTACTACATAAAACATAATAATTATCAACTTCTCCTTCATGTTTACTCGGAGGTGTATGGAGCATCCTGTCCGCTCATTGGTCAGTGAATGAAACCTCCGTTGATTGGTCCTCGTCCGAGCGACAGCGATGAAAAGTTGAAAATGTTTCAACTTTCTGGGTTCGCGTCGCTGGGTCGCCTGTGCACGACATGTGCACGAGCGCAAAATTTCACACGCACGTATTTCGCGTTTCGCTTGGTAGGAGGGAGACCCGCGATTATCGCTTTGTCGCGCATGTCTCATTGAAAATGAATGGAGGAGAGGCGATGTCGCCTCCCATGTGTCGAGCCCATAACGCTGCAAATTTGATTAAAACGAGTGATCAGCAGCTCCTGCAGAACCCGATGAAGCTTGAGGCAATAATTCAGCAGTTAGAATGAAGTGCGTCTGAGCAGGGACATATCAAAAACAATACTTTTCCAACAACACTATTTGTGTGTTTGTGTGCGGTATGAGGCGTGGCTTTCAGCTCCTCCCAGGGGGGGACCAGGGATGGGAGCTAGCCGCTCAAATTTGAAAGTCTCCTCCTCTCTGTGTTGATGCTACGCTACAGACTACAGCTTTAAGATCCATCTAACAAATACTTCTCAGTTTAAATATTCTTTGTTGTTCTCTTCTCATTGTTTAGATAACCTGGAATGTGCTGGATTTTTGCAGCAGCCTAGAGTTGAACTGTTTTGCTTGAATCTCCCTTTTGGAGATTGTCTTTGCTCTACTGCATGAAACATCTTTTGCTATGTTGTTGTTTTCATTTTTTTATAGATATAATTGCACAAACAGCCAGACTGGAGAATGCATCCATGTAGGTTGTTTGTGCTATACTAAAGGTTTCTGGATTCATTAAATGTCTAAAATCCTGGTACGGCTGGTAAAAGGAAAGTAAATCACATTGAAGTGGAGCCACTAGAAACTAAACATCCTCTGTTTGAATATAAATAACACATTATCTAAAATGCAGCTAAAATGAATGTGACCTTACAAAAAGACAACATTTCATAAGAAACAAATGACGGCAGCCAAAGCTGCTGCTGCTGAGAGAGAAAGGTATTTTAGGTTGTGTGAAACATCAAACAAGGCTGTGCAACACTGCTGAACTCCGTCCTCCCTCTGGGATTAATGAAGTGTCTTTGAATTCCATACAGGGTTAGTAAAATGAAGCTTTTTTCTGTTTCTGAGTGTCGTTCTGCAGCGCTCTGGCTGCAAAACAAACACAAGCATGATGTAAGAGGAGCTAAAGAGAGCCAACACCATCAAACGCCACATTTACAGCAGTCAGGTCAAGTTCTCCATACGCTGTATTCATGTTTTCCTAATATTTCATTTTACAAGGAATTGTGAGAAAATCATAAAAGACGGTGTTGGTGAGAAGAAGCCACTTTCTTCTCCCACTTGTGGCTTCCCACATTTCACTTCATTTCATTTGTGCATTAGATCCCCATTAGCTGCTGCTTCGTACAGAAACTATTCTTCCTGGTGTCCGACGCCACAATACAGCAACCAGTATTTACAATAAAATTCACTCAAACATTCTCACATCACAAAAACAAAAAACATCTGCTCAAATTACACAATAATTACAAACCACGGCAAAAGCTGCATCAGCCATTTCGGACATTTCCTTCACATGTTCAGTCACAATTCCCATAACTAAAACATAAATCTAAGGCTCTTCTTAAGATAATAACACTTTTACTGCTGTGTCAACAAAATATATTTAACTTTTTTTTGTAAGTAATTAAATTATCCTCCAATACTAGAAAGTTAGGGAACGCGTTCCAAGCCACCGTTGCTCTGTTACTCACAGTTTTTTGTTTTAAAGTTTTTCGACACCTCGGTAACACAAGCCTACAGAGTGATGTTTGCCAAGTGGAATGATGATGTATATCTGAGAAGAATAGACATTTTCTGTAAAATGACTCTGGTACTTTAGTCATCACTACTCTCTTAACAAAACACAAAAGTGAATACTTCAT